TCCTCGAGAGCCTGACGAAGCTGATCTTCGGTATATTGAGGCATTATATATAGAAGAAGACATGTGCAAAAGATGAGCCCATTTGGACGCGAATTGAAAATGTTGTGATAAAAGGAGGTTGGGGGTGGGCATTGGGTTGTGGTGGATTTTCGCGTTTTTGTGGGTGCCAGAAACAGGGGGGTGCCAGGAAGTGGGTATGTTGACTTAAAAGATGGAGACAGTTGCGGCTCCCGCGAGATTCAGATGAGTGCAAGAATTTTCCTACAGCAAAGCCGAGTAAAAACCGCCGCTAACCACCGCGTCAACATGACTTCGCCGTCAAGTCTTTTGCCTGCCACGGAGCCTGTCCGGAGGTCCAAACGGGGCCGTATTACATCCCTGAAATCTCTCTATTGGGCGTACTCGTCGGTTTGTACGTTTTTATTCAAGGGCTGGACTTGTTAAAAAGTGGACATTGTCGCCTTTACGATGTGCCAAGTGACATACAAATTTGCTCACCAGTCAACAGAGATAAGGACTTGTGATTTGTTATGGTAAAGAGCTGTTGAACGACAGCTACAATGTAGAATCCCGCTGAGCTGCTCCCGAGGCACAACATCAACATGCGAATTCATGTCTGATGTCTCGACCCTTGCGCATATCTCTTCACCTCCCATTCGTATGATCGTGTTGAAGGGCAACGGCTGCAGGTACTTAACCCGCTTTGGCCATGGCGCGAAAATTTCTCCGATCTTGGTTCCTGCATCTCGGGTTTAGAAGGCGGGCTTGGTCTACCCCCCCCCCCCCGGCCAGAGATGGGTCATCTTTTTCAAGGCGCCTCTTCAAAATCGGGGTTTGGTTACTGTTAGAGACCTCCACGTGGCGTCTACCCGGCTCTCGATCTACCAAGTTGCGTCTCGCTACAGATCAGCGGAAGTTTTCGCGCGAAGTTTATTGAGCGAGTAGAGAAGTGAACGGGAGATAGATATGCTTACCCGTGCCCTCTGTGTTTGCCTAGACCTTCACTATCATCATGTTATTCGCCAGAACTGGTATGGTCTCGAACTTTACCGCTTCAAATTTCGCGATATGTCGAAGCTTTTGGGCTAGATGTATCTTCAAAAATCTTGTACCGGGCTGTCATTTGGGATCGGCGAGCAATGAGGCTCGAGAGCCCGACTTAGTGACGACAGAGAAGAAGTAGTTGTGACAATCAATAAGGGTGATTGCCTAGAGCATCGGGGTTGTTACAAAGGCCATCTCCCTATCATTGGTTTCAAGAGAGGCCCTATGAACCAAAGTTTTAGCTACGCGACCCACCAGTTCATGTGTTCAAATGACACGGATGCTGGGTCAGGCATACACAATCGATAAACTTAGTCGCAGCCGCACCAGACTGCATGCACGCATCACCCGCAGCTGATACTCCGTACCGCATGCTGTGGATACAAGCATCGTTTTATAGCTTTCCACTGTTTCGGGTTTGAATAAGGGTAATTTTGACTTGAGGGCGTAGGTCTTCTCCATCTAGTAAATTACTTAACAGAAGTAGTTGTTCTTCTCCAAGCAAATACGAAAGAGAGGCGATGTCGAGTGCTTCGATGAGAAGCGCATGCGAAGTGCGTTTACGAGTTTGCACGTAATTAAGATTCACGACAGTGTTGAGGTAGTGCACACTCCGAGTTTTTCGGGATTCAGGCTCTAATATAACGGAATATTTAATCCGTTGATATCGTGGTCTCCCATCGAAGAACCTATTATCCAGTTTTTCGCTTATGTGATCGGTTCGCCCACTGGCAACGGTCCAGGTCTACGGAGTGGAGCAGAACTTTTTGGCCCCAACTGAAAGCAGGCGGCTTCCGCTTTTAGACTAAGGGCAACCAGAAACGTCCCCTAACAGATACTCATCTCTCCGCCTCCTGCCCGGCTCAATTATTGCTCCGGTCAACTTCAACGTCGTGGGCGGAATGTCGAACGGGATTCGGGTATCACACAATTCGTTGCTGCATTGCTAGTTGTATATAAACAAACAAGCTCTATCGCGACTTGATTTTGTTGCAAAGACACTATTTATCCGGCTTTTGGCACAATGACGTCCTCAATGTTGGCAGTTACGGCACCAAGCTTTTGCGCCCCGTCCGCATATGAGCTTTCCACGATCCCTCAGCCAGTTGTAATAGAGCCTACCGATGTGGTATTCCGTGTTCACGCAGCGAGTATCAATCCCGTAGATGTCAAGAAGGCAGCAGGAGTCTTCAAGCTTGCGGTCAAAGAGAAGTTCGTTGAGAACCCTGGTCAAGCGATGATCTTGTCAACTGATATCAATAAAACAGATTCCCATATCAAATTGGCTATGATTGCTCAGGAACCGTAACAGAAGTGGGTCAGGATGTCAAAGGCATCAAAGTTGGCGACGAGGTTTACTCGCGGTTACCGGAGGCAAGTCGAGGTATGTATACGCCCAAAAACTGCGATAGACCGACCAATGGTGTAGATGCTAAGATACTATACTTGCAGGGGCATGGAGTGAATACGCCAAATGTTCACAACATTACGTTACTCTCAAACCCAAGAATTTGTCTTTCGATGATGCAGCCTCGTTACCATTGGCAGGCATGACCGCACTACAAACTTTGCGACGATACGAGGGATCATTGTCAGGCAAGACGGTCTTCGTACCAGCTGGCTGTGAGTGAGATTCATCGAACTCTACATAGATAAATTGCTAATGATACTCTGACAAGTGAGCGGCACTGGCGCATATGCGTGTCAGATCGCCAAGAACGTCTTCAATGCCGGCAAAGTGATCACCACCGTCTCAACATCAAAGGTAGAAAAAGTACCAGAGTTGCTTGGTAAAGGCACGGTTGACCAAAGTGAGCCTCAATCGAACTGCCTAGCTACTTGAACAGAGAGTGATACCTAACCAGAATCCAGTAATCGACTACATTAAGGAAGACGTAACCCAGGTCATTCCTCGTGGATCCGTTGACTTCATCTTAGACACAACTGGAGATTCTATGTCTTTTCTTCATCTCATGACTCCGTCTACAGGTGTCATTGTCTCTATCGCTACGCAGCCCTCCGGTACTCAGCTCCAACAATCTAGCGTGATGAAGAGGCCAGATGGCCCACGTCTCCCGTGGTTTGCACGCATGGTGTTGAATATGGTTGATTCGTATCGGAAGGCACGTGCAAAACGCTGGGGTGTCAAATATGAGTACCTATTCCTCGATCCCAATGCCAAAGACTTGGAAACACTGGCTCTCTATGCAGAAAAAGGAGACGTCCTGCCTGTTGTTGGTTGTAAAGTCAACTTTAGGGATATCGATGGCGTGAGAGAGGCGTGTACAACTGTGTACAACGGGAAAGGTGGCCTTGGGAAAACGGTGTTCACTATCATCGCGAGTTGAGTTTAGTAGTTTTGGGATAGGCGATAGTTTACAGGCTTCCACGCAACCTTTTTTGAGTGATGTTTAATCTAAGCGAATGAGATGCATTGTCGGTCAACGTTCTTTTCAAGTTGTTGATAGAGAGACGTTATGAGATGAGATCTGATACCATACCATTCATGTTCGGAGAACAGGATGGAGTCGGCTATGCAAGCGTTTAGCGTCAGCAATACGGTCTAGGTCAAGAATGATGGCCAGCGAAAGGAGCACATGGTTGGAGCGATGGACACTGTAACATGACCCTGATCGGTTCGAGTCAGAGATGGGCAGTACTGCATCTATTGGGGACGTGTATGTCTAGTGAAGGTATGGGCAGAGGTTTCTACACCGCCTCTAGTGCTAGTAGTTCTGCCAATACCACATCTATTGACTCTATATGGGGTTTCCTTCCCTCACTACATAGAGTAAAGACCAGTTGATAAGAGCAACAAGCGTAATGCCCCAGAACGGCGCACCAACAAAGTTGTTGCTAAGTCCCCAGCCGAGGACAGTTCCTCCGATAGTAGGTCCAAGCATGCGAGCTGCGGCTGAAGTGCTCGATGCAACACCATGCACAGTGGCTAGTAGGGCAGGGTGCGGAGCAGAGTCGTTGACCAGCATGATCGTTGCCGGCCCTACAAACGTTCTCGACATGACTTGTGCACTCAAGATGACAGACAAAAAGGGCCACAAGAGCGGGCTCTTATTCGACAACAGGGCGAGATAGGGCAGCGAGCAGTACGCCAGCGCACTGAAGGGGAGGAATGTGCGGTAGGACTGTAGGACACCGAGCCTACTGCTGATCCAGGGAAACAAGAGGATTTGGAGGGGAAGACCGACAGCTCCAATGACTGTGTTAGCAAAGCCGACCTTCTGGGATGACAGACCCAGACCACCTGTGAATCGGAATGGAAGTTGAGCATTGGTGTTGTCTGCTTGGGGTGCTGGTAGCATAACGAACAGTATGGAGTTGAAGGCAGAAACGTGGAGAGCCGAGGAAAAGTTCTGAACCAGCGTCAAGATAACGTTGCGGGTGCAGATAGCACGCAGAGGCGCCCGGCCCTTGTCTTCCACGGGCTTGCTGGACGAAGTTTGGTCCTCAACGTCTCCGGCTTCGGCCGGCTCGTTTGCATTGCCAACGAGATGATAGTCATTGGGCGGGCTTTCCATTCTAAAGACCTTTCTGAGAAGGAAACGTCCAAGGTCCCGGCCTCGGTCTCGGCGATGGCGCCGGAGTGGATGCGTTTCGTCCAGCCCGAGGACGACTCCCAAAGCCGCAATCATCAAGATGCTTGAGCAAACAAAGTTTGTCAGAGCGTATGGGAATCGTATCATCCATTCGACTCCATCTTCACCACCGAGGAAGGATCCCGGCCCGAAGATTGAGGGTAGAGATTCAATAGGGTCGGCAAGAAATCCACCTAGAAGAGGTCCAATGATGACGCCAACGTTGAAGCACATTGGAAGTAGAAGAAAAGCTCGAGATCGGTACCTGTTCGCCTTTTAGCACTGATCACGCGACCACAACTGAAAGGGGTATCAGGTCACGCATACCTTTTGTCTTCAACAATTTCCGAAATCATGGTCCTGAGAACACCTACGTTTCCGTTCAGTGCTCCAGCTAGAACACGGAAGAACACCACAGAGGCATAGGAAGTAGATAGACCCATCCCGATCGCTGAGATACAAGTTCCCAGCAGCCCCACGAGAAGGACTCGCTTTCGACCAAAAAGAGGACTGTCAGCCACATGTCCCCATAACATGCCAGTTACACACTGGGCAGCGGCGAATGCGGCAGTGAGAAGACCGGCCTGTCTTGCAATTGCCGAGTCTGGTAGAGATGGACTGAGAAACTTCAACTGATAGAAGAGGTACGATGTAAGTGACCGCTCAGCCAGCGGTTCGGCTAGGCGGGCAAAGACGACCATGCCCAGCTGCCACTTCTTGGGCATTGACATCCAAGACACTGGTTGTTGGGGTGCTTCTGTCTCAGCCACGAGACTCAAGTCGGGAGTCTGATACGAGGGAACGGCCATATTGGAATGACTGGCTTTGAGAAGTGGTGTCTCATCATTGACAACTACGTCGTCATCTTGATGTTGGTCTCGACTGTTGCGTCTCCCTTGCGAACTTGCCTTCGAGCGAGGGCGTTTTGGGGCCGAGGAATCGTCCGGCCTCGCCATTTTTCTATTGATAAAATAAAACCACAATGAATAACGGAGAAGGTTCCAATGGCGGCAAAGAAATGCAAGCTGCAAGCTGCAAGGTGAGCTTCTAGATCAAATGTGCCTTCTGTCGTATCAATCCACGTTAGCTCCAACCCCAGCGCGCCCACACCAAGGAACGCGTGCAGGGATCAAAAGTCCCGCAAGATGCATGCACTTTTAGGTCGGCTCCCACTCACTCGATAGATCGACTTTTGTTGATTCCGAAGTGGTCCAGATGGGCGTGAAAAAGACGTTTAAAGCGTGGTTGTTTGACGGATGTTGGCCGCGTAGCAGTCTTGGCAGGCTCGCTCGCTCGAGCCGAGCGGGATAACGTCGTATCACCGAGGAACCATGCAACCTGTTTCCAAGCTGTGATTCGTCCGTTCTTCGACGTCACCTCGTTCGACCTATTGTTGAAGATGAAGAACAAGAGGAAACTATGCGTATCTAGCTCATGCAAGTTAGGTTCAGTCAGTGAGTATATGAAAGCTGCTGTTTCCCTCCGGCTTGCGACCTATTTTCCTCGGGAATCAGCGAGGTTTTATTCAGGGAACCCAGTACTCTGTGTTAGGATCTGATAAAGTCCAGTTGCTCCAGAATGTCATCCAACACCAAACTACCGCGATTTAGACTTCAAGACTTCCCTTGCCACGGCAGGGATTTTGGATCTGCATGAAATATCACTGTGAGAAATTCTGCACAAACAGTAGAACAATGCTTATTGGCGTCTTGGAGAAGATGGACCTCCACTTCTTGCGCCGCCGCTACTCACTTTGGGCAATCCCCGGGACAGATTTTTTCAGTGACAGCGCTTTGGCTTGCTTTGCCTCCTTTGTCGGCCCAAGGAGACTCATCATATTCCCAGTTTGGTGGTCCAACCTTGTCGTCACCGGGTCTAGCTCCTGCAGATTCATGAATCGAAGGGTCTCTGCAACCTTGATTTCGGCGAACTGTGGATCTAATCTGATTGATTAGATGCGCCTTCGTCGGACTAGACAAGTTCATCGCCTGCTCACCCGCACGTGGTGCCACCCAGTTACCAAGCGGGAGCGCCTGACGGACGCAGGGCCATCCACGGCTTGCGACCCTAGACGCGTAGTCGGGGTTAGGACCCTCCGTTGCTGTCCATCGGTCAATTTCGGAGTGACATTCATGTAAACCATGCTATAAGAACCAAACTTCGTCAAATATTGACATCGTCTCTCGCTCTACAGTCGACACTTTACGTTTTTCCACAGTCGGACGGTCTCAGCTGAACCTCTTCTCCTCCTCAACACCTAAGCAATGGCTGCCGAAGCAGTGCCACCCCCTCGGGATGCCGAGCAAGCTCCCGCAGACCATGTCTCTGAGACAAGTCAAAACGAGAAGCAGGGCTTTACAACCGCTGTCTCCGCGTCCCCGGATAGCGACGAAGTCTCGGTCAACAGCAGCCTCAGACCAGTTCCTTTGACATGGAAGCTGGCCTCTGTTGTGTTGGTGACTGCTATTGGATTTGGTTCTCAGTGGAGTTCCGGCCTCAGCGGTGCCATGAAGACAACGATGAAGAAGGAGATGAAGATCAACAACACGCAGTTCTCCCTTTTGGAAGCGAGCGAGGATTTTATGGTTACAGCTCTGATGCTTCTCAGCGGTGTTGTTACGGATAGGATTGGTGGCGCAGGTACGAATAATCAGAAATCTTGACACAAGCATTACTGACAGACAGCTAGGTGCCATGTTATACGGCAATTTCCTCTACTCAGCCGGCTCGATTCTTGTGGCAGCGGCAGCTCAGACCCGCTCTTACAAGTTTATGATTGCGGGCAGAGTTATCCGCTCCCTCGGAGATATTGCGACTCAAGTGGCGCAATACAAAGTCTTCTCGTCCTGGTTTGCCCCCGGCAACGGCTTTGCCTCGACTTTGGGCTTCGAGCTCGGCATTGGCAAGATTGGTGCATTTGCTGGAAAGTCGTCTGCCAATATCATCGCCAAGAAGACGGGAGATTTCGCTTGGGTATTTTGGGTTGCCGTTTTCATGAATCTCTTCACGAACGTCATGACGGGCGTGTTTTACTGGTTTACAAAGGTTGCCAATAGCAAATTCCACGGCGTCAGCGACCCTGCTACCGGCGAGAGATTGAAGGAAAAGACAAAGAAGTTCGAGTTGCGTAAGGTCCTCGAGTTACCGTGGGCCTTCTGGGCAGTCATGGGCTTCTCATTATTCGAAACGAGTACCGCCATTGTCTTCCTGCAGAACGCCACCGAGCTCGCCGAGCAGCGCTTCGGCACAAGCTCCATCACTGCCGGTTGGTATAGCGCTACGTTGCAATATGCCGGTAAGTATTTGCTCTTCCGCTTTCCCCGTGCCCTTCAGTCAGCTAACATAAGTAGGATTCTTCGTTGTTCCCCTACTGGGAGTCTTCCTTGACCTCTACGGTAACCGTATCTCAGTCTGTAAGTGTTGATCGATTCCACAAAAATGAGGTCTTGTAACTAACATAGCCCTCTAGTGGTCTTCTGTGGCATTGGAATGTTTACCTCCATGTTGCTCGTGTGCTTCGCCAATACCACCCAGGGCACTGCTGCGAGTTTCGGAGTCTTCGCTTTCGCCTACTGCTTTAGACCAGCCACCATTATTGACAGTATCCGCACGTCAATGTGGGACTCAACCGTCTTTGGTTCAGCATATGCTCTGAAGATCACGATGAACAACGCGTAATACTTCCTGCTCAAAACTTTCCCCGATGCCCGGTCCAAGCTAACATGATGCTTCTTCTTCAGAATGAACATTGTCGTCCGCGTCATTACTGGCGTCATCCAAGACAACGACAATAACTCTTACGACAAGGTTACTATTGTCTACGTCATTCTTGCTGGAATCTCGGTGGTCGTTTCTTTCCTCCTGACGTTTGCTTCCTGGAAGTCCGTCGACCTGGGACACCTTCAGTGGACACGCAAACTGCGCATTGCGCGTGGCGAGATCCTCAACGTCAGGAAGGAGAGGTTCTACGGGCAGAATGGCGAGAAGAACAGACTCATCTCCAAGAGCTGCTTTGTAGCATTGATCGTGCTTATCTTGGGAAGTTGGTGCGGCTACTTCTGGGGAGTTGCGACTGGCAATAACTCTTGATGACTTGAGCAGAGGACGAAACAGGATGCGATGACTCGTAAGGGACATTCAATATCGTAGAACATGGTCAAAATGATCATGCCTAATCAATATTTAGTTGAACTAATACAATCGACGATCGCCGGTCATTCCGGTTGCTATGAAACTTACTTCCAGCGCAGCGTCATTTAGCTCAAGTAATGTGCAGATAAGCAAAATTTCTACCGCGGCGTCGATAGCATAGGCTACAGAATTGCTTTAACTCACATAGCTGTCGGTAGCGTCCGCATTTGATTCGACAGCGCCATGAAGAAGTCTTCGCCTCGCGCAACTTGCTCAACTGCTAGACAGAATCCGGCGCGGCGATAGCTTCATAAAATGGGCCCGAAGCCGTTGAAGGGATCTGGAAAGCCCGATGTTTAGCGGAGAAGAAAGCCGGGGTAAACCGGGTCAGAAGAATCGATCTAGAAGTTCATCCGCCCAACTAGATTGGCATGACCCCGGACGCGTGGAATACAGGCAGGAAAGCCTTCCACGGGACTTGTCTCTTCGGATACGATGTCGGCTTGGAAGCGAGTAGAGACGATGGATCGGTGCATAAGCTTGGAGCGACCCGGTGCTATCCTGCCCTGCGCAAGCAGCACAGCAAGCCTTGCACAGGTACCCGAACCGCATGGAGAACGATCAATCTGTCCATCAGCAAAGACGGTGACGTTTCGTTGTTTCACCTCGTCTTGCTCGTTATTGACATCGCCTTCTTCGTTGTAGAAGATCACGCCATAGAGATCGTAGGTGCCATAGTTGGCCTTGTCACCAATGAATGCTTTGATCTCTCTGCCAAGTTTGATATGGTCTTGATGGCTGCCAGGCTCCACCTTTAGTCCGATCTGAGATGCATCAAGCGTAGCGTAGACTGCACCAGCAAAGGCAAGGTCGACTTTGATAGTTGCATGATGAGACGGAATCTGGACCTCCAGGTCCTTGACAAGTTGGTAACTCAACACGTTGACAAAGTCGGCATAGACAGGTATGCCCTGCTTGACGCCGACGCTGGCAACCACGCGCCCAGAAGGAACATCGATAATGACGTCGACAACTCCGTCATCCTTGGGTGCTTCGACGAGTCCCTTTGTAACAGCCCAGTATCCCAAGGCGATGGTTCCATGCCCGCATGCAGTCGAAAATCCGTCTTTATGCCAGAACATGACCCCAAAATGAGCCCCAGAGTCATCAGGCGGCGTGACAAAACCTCCGTACATGTCTGCGTGGCCGCGGGGCTCGTGGCATAGTGATTGGCGAAGCTCATCTAACGGGTGGCCAGGAGTTTTGATGACTGCGAAACGACGATCGGCTACGGTTTGGGCCTCGGGTAGATAACCGTTTGGCAGCCTGTCCACGATACGGAAAGGTTCGCCGGCAGTATGCCAGTCCTCGGACTCGACCCAAAAAGGGCTCTTCTCACTAGTAGACATCGTGAATGCCAGGGCGGATGGCGACCTTGGGCAAACAGATTGTTCTGGTGCTTTCGAAAAGGTAAAGACTAAACGTCAGTCTAGGTTCCTCGGTGAATCAGTTTTTTTTGGCAGGATACGTCTGAAATGAGTAGCCGAATTTCGGTGCCGGTACCCTCCGATATAGGCGTCCGCAGAATGTCACCCGGCGCAGGCTGGACAACGGCAATGCCCCGCATCGGAAGGCCGACCCGGTCCGGTCAAGATGGGGCCCGGAAGAGGGTCCCGAAAATACGAGAAATACTGAGGATTTTCGTATTGACCAATGAGCCCTTCAAGAATCATTGTAAATGCGGGGAATTGGCGATTACCTTTGCGAAGCGAGATGCCGCAAAACCACGGTATTTCATCTTCCAGATGGTAGGAAACTCCAATGGTTTGTTAGATTTTGAGAACTTTTGCGGATTGAATAATGCTCATATGAGCTGGACTGGAAGTTGACTGCGAGTGGCTTTGGTAGGACGGAGCCGAATGCGGCGGAAGTCGGGGGAAGCGGATCCGGCCTCTGCACAAGGATGTACTTGGTCAATTGAATGAACCAGCAGACTTGATAATAACTGCTACGCTGGTATCAGAATGAACAGAACAAGTTTCCTCTATCCTCAATGATAAGGCTTTTGGGACAAGTGCAAAGTCGAGGGCGGGTTGTACCTGATTGAGGCCTTCCACGATGGAGGTCTATGAAAGACTCACAATGATCCACCGTACCCTCAAGAAAACTGCCAATGCATGAATTGTAAAGTCTTCCGTTGACCAAAAGACACAGAAATCGCTCACATTTGGTATCGGGAAGAGTCTCAGGCCCCAAACTCTGAAGCCCCAGCGAGATCAGGGTGAGCCTGTGAGGGACGAATCTGGGGTTGTGACCAGGGCCGCGTCTTGGCTTCCTGATGAGGCCTAGCGCCGATCGCATATCCTGCCGGCCTCCCGATCCGCCGGGTCTGCCATTTGATAAGAAAAACACCCCGCCCCTCAACCTTCACCACCGCGGCCTCCACACCTCGCCCGGACCCAACTTCACGCAAACATCCAACATTAAAGACATTCGGCAGCCAACCAACGATGTTCCATCCATCATGCCAGACGCGTCCCACGCTTCCAATTCGTGCTGGACCTGTCGGCAGAAGCGGGCCAAGTGTGACAGACTCCTTCCGACTTGCCTCCGCTGTACCTCCTTGAAGCTTCGGTGTCAAGGATATGATCGACCGAAGAAGTTGGTGTGGACCAATAGTGTGGCCAGCCGAGGCAAGATGATGGGAAAGGCCACATACGACGCAGATCAAGAACCGAATGATGATCTTATCGCCGCAAGGCCTTGTCAGTCTGGCCGTCTCGCAGTGGGACACCCTCGGGACACTTTGCGCGAAGCACTGCCGGCATCACTTGACGTGTCATGGTCTCTCATCGATCCTGACCTGCAAGACTTGTCAGTTGATTGCCGGAAGTACATACGCTATTGTAAGCTGTAACCCAGAACGAAACCATCCCACGGTGAAGGCGCTGACAATGCTGTGTTAGTTGACATGGAAATGTCCAAGGAATGTGTCGTTTACCAGACATCCAGTAATCCTTTCTTATCCCTTATGCCGCTTATGTCCAGAAGTCATGCCTTGTCCCATGCGATGATCGCAATCTCGGCCTTTCACTACTCTCATCGGCTGGTCATCAGCCAGATGCAAATTTCCTGTGCGGAAAGAAGGCTTCTTGAAGTTGAGAATACTTCACTGTGGCATAAGTCACAGGGACGCGACTGGCAACTGAGGCAGCCAAACTTCTCGCCCTCACTGCGTGTAGCTCTAGCTCATAAGCAAAGAGCCTTGCAATATCTCAAGATAGAAATCCAGGACGACGATGTGACAAACAACAATGCCGCAGTGGCAGCTATCGTTCTATTTATCTGCATGGACGTGGTTGAGTTTGGCAGCCGTGGATGGGAGCATCACCTGGGAGGTGCTGGTGAAATACTCCAACAGCGGAAAGCTACCCTTCAGAATCGCAGTATTGGAACCGATCATTGGCTGGAATATTTTGACACAGCCTACACGACGTAAGGGCACTTCCTGAAAGCTCTTGCGTGGATTCACCCCTAACTTTCCTCGTAGATTTGGGATCATCGGCGCAACACTGGCGCCAGCAAAGGGCTCTTTCGCTCAGCAACTAGCATCCCTTGATCCGTCTCTCCTAAGGATCTTGCGCCAGTCTGAAGATCAAACTTGGGTTGGCTGTCCTGCCGAGCTGCTGTACCTAGTTTCCGTCATCAACTCTATGCGATCACTCTCGACGTGTTCTGAGGCAGAGCAGTTGAAGGTCGATGAGCTGTGCAAAGGTCTCGACAACTTCTCGCCGTCTGGTTGGGCAGAGAATTTCCCAGATCCGGAGCACTATCAGTCGCGATCGCACCTTGCGCACGCTTACAAGGCGGCGGTCGAAGTATACGCCTCTCACATTGTAGGGCCGCTGCTCGATCAAGGGCATAATCTCTCTGACCTGTATCTCGAAGGGGTAACTCGATCCGGCATACTCCATATGCTCTCCATTTCAGCCCAGGACTTCCATGTGAAGAGCCTGGTGTGGCCGGCCTTTGTCGTTGGGGCAGAGATCCAAGCGGCCGATCTCAAGATTATGGTACGGGAAATCTTCAGGAATATCTGGATATCGTCGTGTTGCTACAATGTTAGAAATGCCATTGAGATGCTGGAAAGGATCTGGGCCCGAGACGATGATGAGAAGATGGCAAAGTCTTGGCTCAACTATCTCTGGTCACTGGAAGATAGTTGGCTATTCCTTTAGCCCAGACCAAAAGACATCTACGAAAGTCAAGGCAACACACCGGAGCCCAGGGACACAGCTTCGGACAAGGATGATACATGTACTTGGTGATAAGCAGCGATGCCAAGGTGCCGTGACAGCATGGAACGAAGCTGCAGGACGCTTATACCCGGATGGGACATGCGGGTCAAGCGCCACTCCTAAAATGTGGATCACCTGCGCCGAACTTACGTCGCTGCAACGGGGTCCGATAAGGAGGAGAGTTCCCGCCCCGGTTTGAGGCCTGCAACAACGGTGCCGCCAACATCCACACATCCACACATTACCGGACTGCGTTTATAAAACCTTTCTGTCCCCTCATCTGTGCTTGAAATCATCTCGAGTCTCTTCATTTACAACCCCTCAACTACAATGCCTATCTCCAGCATGTCAGCACCACACCCCCTCTGCCCCCTCTCGGGTGCGGAGATCAAAGCCGCAGCTCAAGTGATCCAGACTGCTTGGCCAACATCTGTTTCTCTTCGGTTCAAGGTGGTGACTCTCAGTGAACCCGCCAAGGGAGAACTGGCACCTTACCTGGACGCAAAGGACAAGGGACTGTCTGCGACTCAACCTGACCGCAGGGCTTTCCTTGCGTACTACATCCGGGGAACGGTACGACATCCAGGCTTCGCTTATTTGAGCTCCGACAAATACTGACAAGACCCATCATAGGATCTCTTCCACGAAGCGGTGGTCAATCTGACAAGCGGAAAGGTTGAGAGCAACCTCAAGCTTGGTGCTAATGTCCACGGCAACGTCGACTATGATGAGGCTCAGTTGGTCGAGAAGATTGCACTCGAGGACCCCAAGGTCCTTGCCGAGATCAAAAAACTCGAGCTACCTGAAGGCACAGTCGTCTGCGCTGATCCGTGGATCTACGGTGGGTGTCTAAACTAAGTGATCGTGTTTCTCACAACTAAGTTCCACCAGGATCTGATGGTGTCAACGATGATGCCCGTCTATATCAAGTTTTTCTCTATATGAGAGACCCCAACAACTCATCCGAACCCGACTCTAATCACTATGCTTTCCCGTTACCAATTCTGCCTGTGGTTGAATGCAACGAGTACAAGATCATCCGCATTGACATTCTTCCCACCGGTGCGGACAACACCATCAAGCCCCTTAGCCCATACACGCCTAAGCCAGGAAACGAGTACATCCCTGAAGCCCAAAACCTCCGGAAAGACCTCAAGCCTCTGCAGGTTGTTCAACCCGAGGGACCGAGTTTCACCGTCACGCCCGTGGGAGAGACCGGAAATGTGCTCGAGTGGCAGAAGTGGAGTTTCTTCATCGGTATGTAAAGCGTACTTGAGGGAGAATGAAATGGCCGGGAATAGTGGCTAACACGGAGTTTTCCAGGCTTCAACCAGCGCGAAGGTATGGTGTTGTACAACGTCAAGTATGACGGTCGTCCGCTATTCTACAGACTGTCGCTCTCAGAGATGAGTGTGCCCTATGGTGACCCGCGCCATCCCTTCCATAAGAAAGCCGCTTTCGATCTCGGTGATGCGGGCGCGGGAGCCACTGCCAACAACCTGCAGCTGGGCTGTGACTGCCTGGGAAGCATTCAGTACCTCAGTGGTGTAATTTCCGATGACCGCGGTCAGCCGGAGTCCAGAGATAACTGCATCTGCATCCACGAGCAAGATGCAGGCATTGGCTGGAAGCACACCAACTACCGTACAGGACGTGCCGCGCTCGTCCGATCTCGCGAATTAGTGCTTCAGAGCATCATTACGGTCTCCAACTATGAGTACATCCTGATGTTCTTGTTTAATCAGGCGGGTGAGGTGACTTACGAAGTCCGAGCTACCGGCATTCTATCAACACAGCCCATTGACCATGAGTTGGACAAGGTCGGCACGTCTTTCGGCACCGTTGTCCACCCTGGTGTCCTCGCGGGACACCATCAACACATCTTCTCCCTGCGTGTCGACCCCATGATCGATGGACACACCAACCAGCTGGTGTACTCGGAAGCGCACAAAATGCCGCGAGATCCCAACTGGAACCCCCACGGCACAGGGTACGAAGTCATCGACAAGGTCGTGGAGAAAACATCGGGTCTTGACCTTGACTTTGACGTGAACCGCACGTTCAAGATCACCAACCCCAATTCCCTCAACCCCATCAACGGGAAACCAGTGGCCTACAAGATCATGGCGCCGCCTTTCCAGAAGCTGATGAGCGATAACGACAGCTTTAACTACAAGCGCGCCGAGTTCGCGGACCACAACATTTATGTCACAACACATCGAGACCGGGAGCTTTACGCCGGCGGTTGGTATACCAATCAGTCTCGTGGAGGCACCGGTGTTAGGGGCTGGTCTGAGCGAAATGAGACATTGACTGCCGAGTCTGACATTGTCGTCTGGGTGCAGTTCGGCATCAACCATGTGCCAAGAATCGAAGACTTCCCCGTCATGCCGGTCGAAATTCTCAAGGTACATCTGAAGCCTGTCAACTTCTTTGACAAGAACCCCGCATTGGATGTGCCTCCTAGCGAGCAGAGTTTCAACAAGAGCACTCTGATAGAAACTAGCAAGGCGGTAAAGGATGCTGACGGCTGTGGTTGCGACGGCCCTGCTGCAGCATCGAAGCTATAGCCGCCAGATTCTTGCATGTACTTTTCCATCCAGCGAAGCCACTGTTTCTCTAGAACACATGTTTACCTACTATCAGATCATTTCTTTCCGTGTTCAATAGCTGTGGCAAAGGAAAGGGCCCGAGGATTACCTATAATCAAAAAAGGGGATTTTCCACCTCCATCTAAGGGATGTCTCTCAGGGGCGATATGATAACACTGCATACCAAAGATTATAAACCGACCTCTTCATATCATGATTGGTATGGAGACATTGGCCCTTGTTTAAACTTTTAGTCTATCGTGCATGTGGACAGAGGCTAGATTCATCGGGTCACTTGCGACGGTGCTTCCGAAGCTCCGGCTTGAGAGTGGTACCATGGCTTGCGGCTGAAATTCTTCACGCCAAGCCCAAGTAACTGCGGATTCCAACTCTGTGACTTGCGGCTGAGATAATGGTACCATGCAATGAGAATAGCAGGACTTGAAAACAGTAGCCATCTTTCTGTCGTTGTCTTGATGCTTGTGATGCATCCCATCGGCATCGAGCTGAGCATTGCGTTCTCAACCTTGTCCTCCTATGATCGGAATGTTTGCTTGTCGCGGGCCGAGACTATGGTCCTCGCCACTCGGTAAGCAACTCCCGTAGCTTATTGGCAGGCACAGAGGATCGTGGAATGTGGGTGTGGGGTTGTTCATGAGATCACGACACTCCCTCTAGCGTGGCAGCGAATCTCCTCGCGCAAGCTTGGTAGGGGGTCGAAATCGTGTAACAAACACGTTTTGCATGGAATGTCTCGCAATGGATTCTTCCAAATGTGTGTAACGGCGACTAACCCCATCAGTGCCGAGATCTCCCTGGCCCCTGACTTAACCGCCCATGTCTCACAACCCAAAAGCATGGTGGCGCGGGCGGAACGATTAGCCTCACGAATACACTAGTGCAGGCTCAACAACTTAGTTGCTCAGAAAAGTCGAACTCATGCATTCGAAAGTAAACATTGTGATGATGCCGGGTCGTTGTTTTCATTCTTCTATCCTGGGCAAAGTCCGACTATTGATATACCCAGGCTTGAACATATCGGGTTACGATCCTGGCTGCGATGAGTGCCATCTGGAAGCCCCCTTGTTAGTATCGAAGCTTGAATGTCTTTGGCTTGACTGAGACACAGCTATATATGATTGGGAATGCTGATGTATCTTGTGGCCTCTCATCGCATTGCCTCGAGTCTCGGGCAGACCACTCGCTGGTGAGCGGCGTTCCGATTCGGATGCGATTCCTCATCCGGCCCTGTTCGCCCTCCTCCCTTGGCATTCCCATTCCTGATTGCCTCGGTTTCTTATCGGCACAGCTTGTTCGCTAGGGTTCATACATCGCAGCCTCAAGTCTTGAGTTATAAATCGCGAAGCCTATTCACTGCAGAAGTCCGGGAGACTCACAACAATACTACCTCTCGAACAGTTCTTTTCAAACCAGACCGCTTCCTCGCCACGACCTCTTTGCCTTGCTTCTCTCAATCCCTTTTGTATAATACAGCTCGAGATGCTGAACCAAGGCGAGCTCGGCACGGCCATGAAGGTCCTCTCCAAGGAGTCTGCCGACACTGTACGTGGCTGGTTCTCGGGAGAGCAGGCGGGCGAGTCCTACGAGCCACTCCTTGAAGACGAGGAAGCAGATCTTTCGGCAGATCTGTCTGAACTATCGTACGAAGAAGAAAAGCCAATTGAGTACACCAGAAGGAGCTGGTTTCGATTCCGCCGCTCCCACGCACGACGCATCTTCTGGACCTTGGTGCCATCGTTCGTGGCCCACGCATACGGTCATGGGGACGAAAATTCCGTGGTCCCTGATTCCCACTCAACGTCGTACCTGAACGGCCTCCGTGGCATCGCAGCAATGGTCGTCATTATACTCCACTATACTGATGATGTGAGCATTCATTGAACGGGATGTACCATTATGAGAAGATGGCTGATAATCTGGTGTTTAGTTCGTTTTCATCAACCATGGTTGGGGAGAGGATGCGAACAATCACTACTTTTTGCAACTCCCATTCATCCGACTTATCCACTGCGGAGTCTTGAGCGTCATGATCTTCTTCGTCCTCAGCGGCTTTGTGCTCACATATAGCCCGTTGAAGAAGGCTCACAGTGGACAAGTTGAAGCCTGCATTGGGTCCCTTCCATCAAGCGTTTTCCGCCGCGGAATGCGGCTATTCTTCCCGACTATTCCCCTCCTTTTCATTGTCCTCGTCTTGAAAACATACGGATTGTACTACAATAGCGGAAGCAGGGATCCTGAGGCAGCCCCAGCCACCGGCATCTTGGCGCTTCTCGTCTTGGTATGGCAAAATCTCATCATCATCACAACTCAGACCACCACCGCCAGCTTCTTGCCTCAGGCCTGGACACTGTCGGTTGAGTTCAGGGGATCAATTCTCGTGTTCCTGTGCTGCTTGGCCCTGGCACGGGTATCTCCCCTAGCCCGGCTATCTGTGGTGGCGATCATTTTCGTTTTCTTCTGGACCCTCGGCGCGGATGGAGACATGTGGCAGCCTTGCCTCTTTCTCTGGGGCATGGCTCTTGCTGACATCCGCCATTTGCGGAACAAGCTACCGAGCCTGGAGGGTTCACTTGAGAGAACGGCTTCGTACAGCTGGTGGCTGGTCTTTGTATTCTCACTCTGGCTAGGAGGCTACCCCATCAATGGCCACACCTTCAATGCCGTGGGATACGGGTGGCTCGAAATGTTCCCCACGTTCGGCCAGGACCCGGCGCGCACTTTCCCGGCCGTCGGTGCCATGATACTGGTAACATCCCTAGAGAACCTGCCGCCTTTGCAGCGCTTGTTGAACGCGCGCTGGGTGCTATACCTGGGCGAGGTCAGCTTCGGCATGTATCTGGTTCACTGGGCTGTTGAGAGGTCTTTCCTCGGCTTGGGTCTCAAGTTCGCGATGCAGAACGCCGGGTATTCTCTCGGTGTGGCTTGGACTTGCAGTTTTACCGTGGTAATTGTGCTCACCTTGTGGTTCGGAGATTTGCACTGGAGATTTATTGATCAGAAGTGCGTTCGACTTGCACGCTGGTTGACTACGAAATTGGGGGTGTAGTACGGTAGTGTTCATTCTGAGACTATCTAGAATCATGATCTTGTAGCGTTGGTCTGTTGGTTCTTTAGAAATTACATGTATATTGACGGCGTTTAGTCAATCGTTCCAGCGTCTTCTGTTATACCTCTTGAGTCTTCAGTTCTTCGGATTTGCCCTGTGATGGATGGTATGAAATCCGAGCCTATGGTGATCTTCTTGGCTTGTAGCCCTGTTGTGGTCGATGTTGAGGGCTCCAGGTTGACATTCCGATAGAGCTCCACTGCCACCCATACCAGGGCTAGCAGTCTTGAGGACGTGTTCTTGACAGATGCGATCGATGTTCTCGATTTCGAGAACGACGACGTGACGGATGGGACTGGTCTGCGAACGATTGATTCTAGATACTGACCACACCCGCACCCCGATTGATTGCGTGTGCGCGTCGTAAGAAGGTGAATCGCCTTCTCTGTTGTCGCGTTTGTTCGTCCCAAACTTGTCGATGAGAATAGTATCAGTGTTCATCGTCCTTCTTCTCGCGCTGCTCAGACCTGGCTTGCGCGGAGTACCTCCGCTGTCGCCCGATAGTGTAGTCGACTCGGGACAGTTCCCAAGCCAACTCGAAGAAGCCGCAGCACAAAGAGCCACACAGCCTATTATAATCGTAGTTGAGAACCTAGCTGTCAGTCCGTGGCTAGTGACAGGGTTCGAGACATACGATGATACCGAAGGTGATTTTCCGAGTGGACCTGCTGAGCAAAGCAAGCCACCTGGATTTCGTCGGCCCACTCCATACCCAACAGGTCCTCTACAGACACCGCGTTCATGGCCTTGTCAGAAGAGTCTCGCTCCCTAGCCTTGACGAGGCCGTTGGTATCGGGCAACCCGCTGGCCCGGCTTGGGTTGATGATTCAAGACGGCATGCTCGAAACCAGAGACACAGTGTTGGTATACGCGTCAGCAGGGCAGCCAATTGGCTGGTGAAGAATTGGCCAAAGCCAACGATCCCTCAGAAGTAAAAGTAAACGGAGGGGCCAATTGTACGGCGCAGTTCCATGCTGTCTACCCAGCTGCAGTAACTGGATGATGGAGACGGACAGTAGCATCAGCAGCTGCTAGTGTGACTACATCGCCAATAGCCTTCATGGGCATGAGCGGATATACAGTGGCCAAACATGTCCAAATCTTCCACGTCTGGAGGCTCATGTGAGCGTCTAGCAAAGAGTCTTTGATAGATATCGATCCGCTGCCTACCCGACCATTGATTGGCAAAGCACCCATACATGACTAGCTTCGCAAGAAATCCCAAGATCGCTGCCGGCGAGCTCTGACCCGTGGGTTTCGATCACGGAGATCTTCACATGCTGTCCACCTCCTGCTTGCCACAGCTGCGCCGGTGTCACGCTCAACGTGAAATCAATGTCTTTAAGGTCGAGGAGAAAGTGGGTGACGTGGTCCTCCATGATAATATCTTGCTAAGTCGACGCTAATAGCGCGAAAGATGACTTCCATGTATGGAGGAAAGAAAGAAGAGCAAGCCAACATCGGCTCTTCTCATGTCTTCCTGACTTGGATGATGTGGTGCTCGCTAACCCCCGCGATCACTTCGGCCGTCTCCTCGAATAAGCCCAACATATTTGGATATGTCCACTAACTTGATGTTTTGCGTTGTTCCTTGGAATCGCCCGCAGAAGTGAACCATGTACCTGGTCCCGGGGAAGCCGTGGAGGCCCGCACTGCACTGCTCATAAGTGCTAAAGAGCACCAAGGACATTGTCGAAATCCCGTAGGAGCGACAGCAGGTGTGATGTGAGGAATCTTGCCAGGGGTGGTATATACTCAAGAGGAACGCAACAATAAGCGGGACTATCATCCTTATTGTTGACCCGGTCGGTCACACCACAGACGCGCATAGGCAGTCGCTTGAGGGCCGCTGGTATACGTTCTCGTTGTAGCTCCCAGATGATCCGACGATCCGCGACATCCCGAGATAAACGCAAGTCCAGACACCGAGGGTCCGTAGACCGGCTTGGCCAGGTTCAACGACGAGACGGGCACTTACATTGCCCGCTTCCATCTTGATTAGGTGACGCGGAACACGGTTTTGGCGCCTTCGAAGCGGGGGAAGAAGGTGCAGACGCGGAGCAGCCTATGGCAGCTGAAGTCCACCGTAAGCAAGCTTAAGAGGGTCGAGCATGAACTCTTTCATGCGACCGCCGCGAGGGTTAGAACAACCCGGCCCGCTCTTTCGTGTGTCTCGCAACTCGAAACGGGCCCAGGTCAGTATTTCTGACTCGCTACGACGGCTGTGGGCGCTTCACTAGTCTGAGGGGCGCTCAGGTGTGTGACAGCAATGGATGAACTCGTAGCCGATTGCCTCCGCGGGCCCCTGGTATGGCCTATAGTGAGAACGAATGGTCCGCCGCCGCCACCGCCCGCACCCGCAGCGCTAGCGACCGTTCCGCCGCTGATGGTAGCGACGCCGCGATTGGGAGCCATGGTTGTACTGAAATAGAGTCAGCAGCGAACACGGAGCGACTCCGGAAGAGACTAACTCAGGCGCAGGGAGTATGCGAGAATGGGGATCTAAAAGACATTCGTTAGCCGCAAGATCTACGCAACGAGGGAGCAGCGCAGACGCTGATAAAAGTGAGAGACCACATACAAAAGGGATGACTGCGGATAAAAAAGAGAAAAGGAGGTTTCGTAAGGTTGATGGTATCGTCGGTGAAAGCTTCGACGGGGAAGTCAATTATCTGGTGTATTGCTAGGTATGAGGTTTGGACGTAGGAGACGATGTAAACATACCCGCTCTTGTTCCGGGGGGGGGGGGGGGCATGACACTGTCACGGCCCCAGACGGAGGCGAGGATCCACGAAAGCTTGGCTGCCTCGATGATCCTGCGAACATCGTCTGCCGAGATGCCTAAGTGCTTCTCGAGCACCTTCAAGGCAACGGTCTCGTTTTTCTGCCCGGGGCGACGGGGCCCGCCATTAAGGATCTTAAACGCCTCGAGGAGGTTCGCCTTAAGGGCGGACTCCCGGTCGGAATCTAGAGTCCTTAAGAGGTACTTATAGTTATTATATACCTTAACCCGGGTGAGGTTAAGGCGGATAACGGCCGCACCGCTATAGTCGGTATACGATTAGATGACGCTAATACCCCAGATTAGGTTTCTAAGGACGCGGGGGTTCTAAGAGTTGCCGTGGTACTCGAAGCCGGACATGATGCTGTCCAGGTTTCGAGCTCCCTTCACCATGGCCATCAAGTTCTTCTTCAAGCAGTACAACAGGGTACAGAAGATCTCGTCCGACAACTTGATGGCCTTGTCGGCCATGCTAACGATCACCTCCTTACGGTTAGAGATGACGCGAACGTTCATCCCGCGGAGGGTCTTGGCCAAGGAGACGGCCATGCTCGTGAGTGCCTCGCGATCGACCTCCTGCGACACCGCGACAGGGAGATCGAAATCGTCCTCTGTGGGGACACCGGTATGGGCGGGGGCGGGGGAGGCGAGGCTAACCACGGTCTTCCGACGGTTATAGATAATGCGGACCTGGGCGTTGCGAAGCTCCTTCGCGTGAGAGACCGCCATGCCCGTAGGGACGTTGCGGTCGATCTCCTCAGAGACATCGACGAGAAGCTCGAAATGGCCCTCGTTCGGGTCCTCGGTCAGGTCAGGGCCGATGGGGGGTACCAGAGGCACTCGTGGCGCCGACGATATCGTCTTCATCGACCTCTTCAGCCGGCTGGGCTGGCAGCTGAGGACGAGCACGTCCAGCAGCAGGGCCCGAGGCGCTCCGAGGAAATCATGAGGTCCTAGTTGTTGATTGCTTGGTTCGTGTACTTCCGACCAATATCGACGTATTTGGTGATAGAATTCTACCACGGCTACGTGGGTTTCCGGCGTGTCCGTGCAATGTGACTAGTTGAAGATGGGGCTCTTGTTGCGGGCGCAGCCATTTACAGTGGGAGACGGTGCCCGTGCAGATGATGGTTGGGAATCGTCAAAAGATCCAAGTGGCAATATCGATGTGGTGGGTTGGCGAAAGCGCAGGGGCGACGTTCAACACGCGCGACAACCTTGCTATGGACGGCAGACACAGGCAGTGACACAAGCAGTGACCCGCCCGAAAGAGCTCGTGGCGTTGGACGTTCTCACTCGAGTTGACGCGGGAGGCCAGAGTGTTGAAACGATCCAAGATTGATGATCAACGCCATGCGGAAAGCACTTCGTTCCGTGGGGCCCATGGCCGAGATATAAGGGCTGAGAAGCAGCGGCACGACAATGAACAATAGTCAAAGGGATATTCCGTAGTCGGAGTGGCCGCATAAGGTAGATAACCGGCAGGTCGAGTAAGTAGATGAAAGTCATCTCACCGCTGGAACAATAATAATAGTTGGGAGTGTGGGAGAGAAAAGGTGTGTGTGATCGTGGTGATCTGTGTTGAACTTCGTGCCAAGGGCTTCTCCTCGATAGTCTCCGAAATTGACAGCATGCTACTGATTCGCTAGCTTTGCTTCAAACTGGTAGTCTCCCCCCAGCAACGACGCATGTCTTTATACTCTGCGGCAGAGAAAAAAACCGACGAAGTGGCTCTTGCTTGCTTTATACAAGCCCCCGTCAACGGCATCTCGTTCTCCAGGGCTCTCGCGTCGATTCTCCTCGGGGCCCGTCACCATTCCCTCGTCGTGCGAAACACGGGCCGGGTGCTGGATGGGCGCGAGGGGCTCCGCGCCCGGGTGCTGTGCATCTTCGCCGCTCTGGGCCGCTCCGTCGGCGTGCATGGATGGGAGTACGGCGGCAACGACATCTCGTCCTCCAGCGCTCTCGCGTCGATTCTCCTCGGGGGCCTCGTTATCGGTGGACGGGATGGAAACAACGTCGACATCCATGTCGTCTGCTATCTCGACGACGTCGTGCTTATCGTCGATCAGGATTGCGTTGCGGTAGCCCGCAACCCAGCTGGGCAGAACGGAGCACGGAGGTGTGAGAAGTCTTTCCAAGTGTTCGTACCGCCACCACGGGATCGAGCTCCGGAGCCCCCTGCCCACCAGGATATCCCTCGTCATCTCCATAGTTGGGTTCCAACGCTTGGCAATGGAGCTCATGGTGTCGACGTCGGCGAAGTCCTCGGGGTGCGCGATCAGCCACTGGGCCACCGCCGAGAACAGGTAGCCCTCCTGACAGACCTCTGGCTTGTTGAGGCCAACTCCATCTCGGGCTCCAGGGCCCATGGCCTAGAGCTGAGATAGCTAGAACAGAATGAGCTGCCCGGTCCACAAAGGCCAATCCCTCGAAGCGATCCTTCAAGTGATTGTCAAAGATTTCGTATACGGCCTCAAACATGCCGAGCGAGTTCCTAGAAAGGAAATCACCATTTGCGCTGACCTGAAATTTGCCCTCAATGACGGTCGAGGCAGTATCGATAGATTCCAATCATTCCTGGCACCCTAGATGCGTCTCCCGAAGAAGCCCAAACGGAAAATAGCATCCACGGTGATGCTCGTAGCTGTGTGGAATATAAGGGCGGGAGATGGTGTCGCGTCAACTCCGTCGGCAGCAATTGGTGTATCCCGTCGCCTGTGTCCCAGGCAACAACGAAGAGCGTCTGGCTGAGCCTGCACAATTCCTTCAACAGCAGGCCGTAGTCTAGGCGAAGCCAAGCGTGGCCCATCGCAATCGGAATGGTGGGCTTGCGTCCTGACAACAACGTTAGCTCATGGCACTGCTCTCAAGACGTGTAGACTCACTATTCAACTGCCGCTTCTGTCGACGAACTGATCAAAAGGTACGCAATAGATACAGAGAGAAGTGGCCGAAGAGGAAACCACAGCAGCCAGGGCCCCACCAGCATGAGACTGTGCCGTTCGAACAGTTTTACATTATTACCCGATTTGCCCGAGATTTCAGTCCATAGGACTATTTCAGGTCAAGGTTCAAGCTGTCTTGCATGGCCGTCTTTAGTAGCTTCGCGTTGGTGTCGCCCTGGCCTCTGGTGATGTTGCCCTTCTTGAGGAACTCCTTCACCAGCGCCTCGCAATTCGGTCTTGGCTAGCTTCTCAATCTCCGACTCGGCCCTGAAGATCTTAACCAGGAGGAGCAGCTCGTAGAACCTCGCCACCACAGTGCCGGCCTTCGCATCCTTCTTGACAGCCATGCTAACCAGCTTGACCAGATCATGGAACTCCTCCGGTAGCGGGTCGCCGCTGTCATTAATTAGGGCGGCGCCAGAAGATGGAACGATACGGCAGCCGGACACGGATCAGTCAGGCAAGGCGAAGAATATGGTGATACCCAGAGCATTGGCGGATGCCTTGGGCTGAGGTGGCCTGATGTTCTGTTCCCAGATGAAGAGCGGCCATCCCACCACTTCCGTCAACCCCGACGAGATCGTGAACATATAGGTCTGCGTTCGAGGAACCAGCTGACACATGAGATCGCACGTCGCTCCTTCGTGTCAAAGTACTGGTGTTGAGCGTTCGCTGATAAATAATAGACGTCAACAACAGGCCCAGTATAGAAACATCTGTTCAACAGTCGTCCCATTTCGGGGTAGTTGAACGGGGCGCGATCATGTCGTACTCGGCGAAATCGTGCGTGACACCAGACTACACGGCCTCAAAGACTGTGGGAAACAGCTATATGCCGGAATAGCGAGGGCTTGGAAACACTACTTCATCTGTCAGCTCGATCCTTCAACAAACGAGACGTTATAGCACGTCATAGAGATAGGTATGCACCGAAAATATCTCGACTCTTGGACAGATCAAGAGGCAGTGCACACATCTGCTTGAACGCGCGTGAACGAGGACTTTATCCGGACGAAGGAAGGCGCTGACCACATAGGCGATATACCGCGTCTGCTACCTGCAAAAGGGCCCGGGGTATAGTGCCGACCAAGAACGTCAAGAAAAATGAGATCCCAGAAACCAGACCACATCTGTGGGATGAGAAAGGTTAGAAAGAGTACGACGGACCTCAAGATTCTAGGGAGGGGGGGGGGGGGGGCATACACGGAGACTCTACCAATCGAGGAGGGTGATATGCTTATAGCATGCCGCTTCAAGTCCCTCCAGTGTCGTCCGATCGGTGCCACTGCCGCCTCAGTCGTTGGTGTTTTCTCGCGAGGGCCCGGAGTCTTCCGTCGACTCCGCAAAAAAGGGAGCCCAACCACATGTGCCGAGTTTTAGTCGACAGGGCAGCAACAAAAAGCTGCAGATGTCACCTAGGCCGGATCACGGTATATGGCAGCAGGATGAAACAGCGAGGCAGGCGCGCGGACAAAGTAAGCTGACAGGAATGGGAGCGAATATATACTGGAATCAAGATCAGATCGTAGTCCGAAGGTTCTGTATTCCCAGAAGAGAGGAGACGACCGCTCCGGATCTCCATCTCGCGTCGTGTCATGATATCGTAAAACACGTAGTCGGCCAGGATACTCAGTGGAGTTGTGTCTCATGTGGGTGCGATATAGATGTGGGCCTGGGGGATTCTGATATAAAGAAGGGGGGAGAAAGAAAGGCCGATTATAAGGTGACCGGTAGGAAGGGAAGGAGGCAACATGGGAGCACGATATCCCTGCTGACGTTCGAGGCGATGTCTGCCGACTATAGTTGCTGAGCGATAACAAGGCCCGAACTGAGGAAGGTAGTTGGGCCTGGGCCCCGGGGCCACGCAGAACAGTCTGATGAGGGCTGAGAATAAGAGTAAGGATAGGAGGTGAAGAAGGGAGAGACCATCGGAACGAGGAGTCGCGGGGGATTCGTTAGTAATAGCTCAGATGATTCCTCCACGGAGAAGAATCAAAACCTGACAACCTTCACCGCCTAACATCCGGAAAGTGCAAGACATCGGTCGGCAGCGTTTCCATCGCCCGAAAGCGCCAGTCCAGGAGAACTAAGATCTCCTTGATGGTCTTTGAGCTAGACATGCCGCGGCCCGACGTTTGAAAGTTGGCACTCGTAGTTTGCAAGGGTTTGTAGTGAACGGTACCAAAGGCAATCTGACCTGCCTCATCAAAGATTGCCCCATGTTTCCAGGATGCAAGACATGGGATTGTAGGAGTGGTTGGAATCTCAGACTTCCGCGTAGGAGACATGCAGCTCGCCTAGATGCCGTCTTCAACAAACAAGACTGACTGACTGGCTCACCTCATGTTGTTGCCCATGTCGCATACCAATCTCCACCACAAGAGATACATCAAACAAACGGATAAGCGCAACTGACGAGAGTGTCAGGGCACACACGGTCCACTGAGAAAGTCAGTGGGCCATGGCTGCTAGCCGTCCGAGCAGTCATCTCAACCAAGGTGCCTGGTTTGACCACGATCAAAAGGTCAGTGGGCGGGTGTGTGAGCAGATGGGGACCAAGGATGCCCAAGTGATGACCGTCATCCGGTGGAAATAGACGGGGCACCAATCTGCCGGCCCCCGACTCCGTCCGCGACAACACAGTATCCGGCTCCTCAGGCGCCAGCTCCGACCGCATGCCAGCATCGGCTAGGCCAACCTGATATGTGATGACTCTTGGCGACCAAAGCGGTTGGGAACGTCGCAATACAGTCCCGCGGCGCAGTCGTCCCTGCCAATCGGATTCATAGCCGAGGTTGAAATGCCGGAATACGAGATGCCAGCCCGGTGCCATGGACCGGGACGTCGCATCCGCGAAAAGGAGAAGGGGCTGTCAAACAGACGCCTCTGAGCCGCATGACGCACATCTCCCCAAAGACAAACATGGCTTTGACGACCTGCAATGCGGTGGAGCCATTGGGGCTTACAGTGAAAGTCGTGGGTCGAGAGTGAGAGGCCTCTAGGCCTTTGAGAAATACGGTTCATTGTTTCTTCCGCTCTCAACGCTTCTGTCTATCCCGTCCATTCCACGAGAGATGGGCTCGAATTCAGAGCCATGCAAAGACTCTAGACGAACAACTGCAAAATGCAAGACATGCTCAAAGGCACCTCTTCTCCCACAAGAAAGCCAAAAACTCCACCATGTCTACAGTGTCCCAGGCAGCATCGTCCACCCAATTACAATTATGGCAAGCAGCCAAGCTACGGCATCCCGTGCCATCATGTGCTGCCTGGGACTCAAAGGACCATGTCTTATGGCGACATGGCTTGATGACCAAAATGGCTGCGATGGTACGCAACCCAACGCCATTGCAGGCTCAAGTTCCACTGAAGCCGCAGGAAAAGACACCCAATGAAATCAGAAACCAGGGGTATCTCCGCCATTCTCCTTCCTTATAACGTGAAAGACCTCCAATTCCTTTCTTCTGTTTGTGCTTTCACAGCCACTGAAATTCCTCGTCATTGTCCTACTCAATCTCCGAGTCCGGCATCGCCGGGACATCTGGCGATTCGTATTCGTCCCATGCTTTTTGTATGACGTCCCTATGACATTGTGTTAGCTGCCTTTCCTTGTCATCGCAAAGACGTGGAATACTCACGCCTCAACCTTGATCAGTTCCACCCCCTTCTTGCGGCAAAAGACCAAGAAACGCCTCTTGGTGCGGTCCCTCTTAAACTCAGCCAAGAGGTCGCCTCTAGGCTTGCCATCAGGCGAAATCACAACGCCGTCCTTGCAAACCACGATGACCTTGGAAGTGTCGGTGGCCCATTTCATCTCCTGGATGTGTTCCAACTCCAAGTGGAAATTTACTGGCTTGGCGTAAATGCCCCAGGTCAAAGTATCGCTTTCCGCAAGCACTTGGTGCTCAAAGATCTGCTCTCCATTGTCCGGAATCCAGTGCCAGTACTGTGTCACACCGGTGCTAACGCTGTTCAGTCGGGACTTGATCCGGTTTAATGCCCAGTCATGTGGGCCGATATGATCGCCACTGTAGTCATCAACGTCGGTGAAGCCGTCATAGTGTAAATCTTCATCTTTGAGCTTTCCAGGGATCCTCGCTGTCCTAAGCTTCTTAGATTGCCTGGCAAGTTCGGGAGTCGGCGGCGCACTCAAAGGTGTCTCGCTTTGCCGAGATTGAAGTTGGCTTGGTGGCAATTGACTTTGTGGCTGAGGCGGAGGCGGAGGCTGGGGTTGAGGTTGAGGCTGGACAGGTGGATGAACCTGAGGCTGTACCTGGGTTTGCATCTGAGGCTGCATCTGATGGACTTGAGGCTGGGACTGGAATTGAGGTGTCGGTGTTGGGGCAAGCGGACGCTGGGATGCGAGGGGATACTCTTCGTTGATGAAAAGCTTGCGCTTTTTGTTGTTTGGGGTGCCTCTGGCCGAGTTGGGCGAGTCTTTTGGCGCCATCTTCATGCCCGACGGTCTTCCGATGCTCTTTTTACCGTTGGCGAGTCTCAGAGCCACGTATTTTGAATCGTGGTAAAAGTCATGGA